CACATGATTATTAAATACATTTGTATTTAACAAAACGAATTACATATTTTCATTTCTCACTTGTCACGTCGTAAATCGATGGAAATAATATTTTGTTATGAAGTTTACTAGAGCTTGAGAATGTTCCCTTGACATTGTTTATCTGCGAATGCAAATGTATTTTACGCAGCTCCGTTAGTAAGAATGTTGGACATTGGGCTTAAAATAATTACAATAGTATTATATTACACTGTATCAAAGTTTATGTTCGCAAAGGAACATTCATAAGCTACACGTATTCCTCCTGCATATTATGACCTGCAGTCTTTTATAGCAGGAACTGATATATTTCATGTATATATATATATACATATATATACGAAGTCTTTATGTTTTCAAAGTACAACAAATTATGTTTCTGGCACGAACCTATGTAAAGCACTAGTCAAGACTAGTAAAGAGCTTTGAAGGCCCTGAGGTAAATGCCGTTGTAACCACGAACCCTTATACTGCTCTATGTGAGCCAACATTTTATTTGCTATGTCAGTTCTAAATGTAGGTGGCAGATTACATACTCCTAAATTAATAACTGCAAGACCCATATTGCTATTAGGATTAACACCAACACCGATCAATGTTCTTCCGATTCTGCATGCTGTTAGCATTAAATCGGCGGTCAACTGAAGTTCTTGTAATTCCATCGATGAAAACTTCGACGACAAACTGCATTCGTACAATGAATGAGAGATACGTTTAACTTGCTTCGTTACTTTCTGTTGAATAAATAAATAAAAAAAACGATTATACTATTTATAGTAAATACAGTAAATTTCTTCCATAATATTACATTCTGTTTTCATTGCGGAAGTTTACTTTGAAATTCAAATTCCTAACAATCATACTTACTGCAAATAGATCAGCCGACAGATATTCCAAATTTACATTATCAGGGTCTGTTAACAACCTGTACAATGTGGATCCCCGATTATCAGGAATCTGTTGTAAATCTTTAGCCCCCTGGTTTTTACTTAAAGTAAGTACCAATGTATCCAAACGGCCCAGTTCTAATATTGCATTTCCAATTTTATATTCTGAATCTTGGAAAACGTGAATATCTAACAATTTCGCGATACATTTTTGCCTACAAAACGTAATACGTAGGCTGTGAGTGTTTCACATGAACATCTTATGTAATTGAACTTTTCTTATAATGTTATTACCTTGATCCATAAACTTCTGACGCTTCATAATTTTCGTCGGTAAACATGTCTAATTCACTGACTGGGTTCCATGCTAATCCTGCAGCTATTAAATATCCGATCCATGCGAACGGATGTGGAGTGAGATGATGACTTCCAGACCAGTGGGCTACAACTATTCCTACTGAATCTTGTTCCAAGGAAGTTTTTATTGCATTTTTTGTGTTAGCATACGTTGATGCTGGACATCCTGCCAAGCTATTGTAACTTGCTGTTCCAGAACTAGGTAAAACATTACCACCGGTTATTCCAAATGCCACTGTCCACTCAGAAAAATCGTAATCCGCCTGCAAGTTTGAGTATTCGGACATGATGAACAATTTAGAACAAATTATTGCTGAAAGATAATTTTTTACCTGAAATCCATATTCAACAAGAATAATGTTATTGGGTATGTTATTGAATTTTGGTTTGGAATGTAAACCGTTCGAACAAAGCATCAAGGTTGTGCTTGAACTCAAATTTAAAATATGCCAGAGTTCTTGAAGACAGGAGTACGACTTAAATACTTCGGACATATCTGTTTCCATAGTTTCGTTAATGGACAAGTTCAAATCAAAATTGTCTGCTTGAACTAGTAAACTAGCTAGCCTGGGGCCAACGTGAACGTAACTTAAACTTGGAAATACTGCTAGTAATTCTTGGAATATAGGCCACATTTGTGATAAATGATGTTGTCCCACGTTTGAGTCAACGTCTAGGGTTGGAACTAAATCTAAATGTCGATCCCTGAAATGAAAACAGTCCGTTTACAAGCAGTATCAAATACGAATAATTTCACATAAATTGAAACAAACCTGCAATAACGATCAAGTGTAACCATCTCTGATTTTGTGTAACAAAGTTGCCAATCACAATTTGGTGTAAGTCTCGAATACAAATGCAAGTAAGATATTTTAAAGGATGACCATAAATCGATCATATGCAATAAGTAATCTAACGTTGGTATACGTCCTCTGGGCGAGATGTCTAGCAATATCCCGCGATGTGAAAATCTCGGTTCATCCTTTATAAAAACAGCCTCGATTTCACACTCATCAGATCTATTCAGACTTTTACTCAATCGCAAAATTTGCACGAATGTACAAACTGCGTAATGTAATCCTGCCAGACTACCGGCACCAACTTTGATCGTATTTTGGGAAATATGCAATTGATAACCGTCCGGTTTATTGAACAGTTTCCTATTTACTATGCAGTCAATTCTGTTGTCGTTAGGTAGTTTGCCAGAGCTCGGATGCACTTCGCCAATCTTTACATCGTGACCCAACTCTAATAAATGAGTTCTGCTGATTTCCCAAACATCTAGTATTCTATGTATAGATTCACTGCCCTGTGTGGCAAAATGACGTATTATGATACTGCGCGATTACACTCGCCATTCAAACTACATACCTGTATTATGGATATAAAAAGTTCTTTTCCAGCAACAAAAGGTTCAAAGCATCTTTTTAATTCTACAACAGTTTTCGGTTGTGGCCAGAGTAAATTATAAATTCCATCTTCATCGGTACTTTCTGTTGGACTGTTCTTGTCCGTTTCTCGTAAAGGTACATCATACACTGGATCTAAGGATTTAGTAGATTCGATAGAAAGTTGACTCATGTTACTTGAAAGACTTTTTTGGCAGAAGTTTCCTTCTGGAAATGATGCAGTCGGACTATGCATGGTGTTAGTGTCATTCGATTCAGTTTTTGATAAAAATCTCTGAATAAAAGAGTGCAAATGTTGTTTTCCCCTGGAAAGATCACAAGGGTCTTTCCCTGCAAAGGTTCTGCAAAAATGTTACGGTCAATCCGAGTGATATATTTCTTTTAACTGTAATGCTGTGTTATCTATATACCCTTTAGTTGCTCGTACAAAAGGATTTGCACCTGCTTGTAATAATTCTTGACAAATAGCAACATCACCACGATTTACTGCATCATGTAATGGTGTAGCACCACAACCATTCACAGCATTTACATCTGCTCCTCTATCTATGTAAGTATTACATACTATATTATATAGTACAAAAAATAATTCCTACAGTGTATAAAACATTTGAACACATTACCTATTAGACATGCAACTATGTCTTTATTCCCGTAACAGGCGGCCCAATGTAAAGGTGTATTTTTACTGCCATGAGAGTCCCATGAATTTACATTTAATCCTGCATCTAATAATTGTAATACTCTGTCGACTCTGTAAATAATTGTGAAATATTATTATAGTAAATTTATAGAGTAATTCATATTCTTTGTTATTATAATAATATTACATACTCTGAGGCAGCTGTTGCTCTCAATAATTCTTCAATATAGGTACGACGTATTGCATCGCTAGATGCAACATCTACTGCATTGTGTCCATTTACATTCTGAATAGCTGGATTAGCGCCGCAACTTAGTAATGTCCTCACAATGTCCGGCTGATTATTCTACATTTTTACAAAAATTAATGTAAAAAGATTCTATCATTAATGTATTATTAAACTAAGCATTTTATTTCTTTATAACATACATTCATAAAGAAATACATAATATAACTTCAATGAAATTAAGTTAAATTTTTATTTAATTCTAATATAAGAAAGTTTTTTTACTAGAAGGAGGAAATTGCTACACAATTCCCATTTTTGTGAAGGAATTTATAAGTAATCGACATAACTATAAATATTCATAATTTCTAACTAATATTTTATAAATTATGATATATGAAATTACCTTTGCAGCATATGAAAGAAAAGTACCTTCTTCTAATAATGGTTGATTTAGAATCTTCTCTTTTGTTATACCTTCAGATGTATTACCATTTTCACCTGTTTAAAAAATAAAACGAAAAGTGTAAACAATTGTGCTTTACAGGCTACATTACGTGGCAGATACTATATACAATGTGATCGGTTTTTATCTATTTTGTTATATTAATGTTATATATTAACATTTTCTATATAATATTTCGTGAAAAATCATAAATGTGCACGTAACTTTATTATAAAATTTCTTACACGTACATGCATCTAAAAGGGATCTGATTATATCGGTACGTCCATGTTCAATAGCTGTACGAATGTTTTCGCAAATGTCTTGCATTTCTGCTTGTTGTTATGTCATATCAAAATTGTATTTCGCACAACATTCTTAAACAACTATTTATGTGTCAGCTATCAAAAATTATCGCGAACATGTCACTAAACTTTCCCCTCACAGGATCCAACAACTCTAACTCACGAACTTTCGTGGCCGCCAATACAACTGCTTTACCGACCTAACATAACAATTAAAAAACAATTAAAGTGGTTTTTATAATTAACAGTCAGTTGAAACAACGTATTGGCTATGTTGATGATAGAAAATATTCTCTGTAATTATACGGTAATATATACTAAAATTTTATTATTTTAATCACTAATACATAAAATTTTATGTCGCTAAAATACGTAACGATGCACACATGTACATATACAAATATATGTATTGTACATATTC